TTGGTAAAAAAAAAAAAAAAAAAAAAAAAAAAAAAAGGTTCCCTGGGGTCACTCAGGAGGGGATCTGGCAGGCCCAGTCCCAGGCCCAGCAGGAAGCCAGTAACCTCTCTGGTTGCCCCAAGCACTTTCTCTACAGGATTTGGAACTGGCTGGAGGTGCTAACAACCTGCCCAGAACTCTTGCCTACAGAAGAGGAGTCATCCATTTACCAAATAATTTTAGAATAATTATAGTAGGCCAACAGGCTCCAGGCAAGGGGCCTTTGGTATCTACTTTCTACATAATGTGCTAAATTCCTAGTAAAAGCCTTTTCTGATGTCCTGCACCCACTCCCATTTTTTGGTCCACAGCTCCAACCTGGAACTCTTAAATTCTGGTGCTTAATTTCCACTCTACTTCATACTTCAACAACCAAGAAGTTATGCTTTGCTGGCTCATCTCCCCCCCCCTTCAATATCCACAAATTACCCTTTCTACTGTGTACCTTTGATGGTTTGGGGAAAAGATAGCATTTTTAAAGGTGACCAGAAATTCCTAAACAAAGTAATGAACAAGAGAAAAATGACAGAAGAAAGCAGATTGGAGAATAAGAGATCTGGCCTATGGCTGGAGAAAAGTGAAATATTTCAAGGCTACAAATCAGCCCAAAGCAATGTAGTAGAGATCCTGTTTTACTTTTCTTTTTCTTCTTTCTTTCTTTCTTCTTCTTCTTCTTCTTCTTCTCCTTCTTCTTCTTCTTCTTCTTTTTTTTTTTTTTTTTTGAGAGGTTTTCCCTATAGGGTGCGTGCACTCACCAGAAAGACAGAGAGAGACAGAGGGACAGAAAGTGAGAAATCGGCCCCCAGGGGAGATGGCCACGCCGCAATCCCTTCTCCTCCCTTCTCTTCTTGGCATCTTGGGCACACACACGCACCCGGTGTGAGTTTAAAGCCGCTGGGTCCAGGACTTGAACCGCAGTCGACTACATGGGAGTCCAGCGACATAGCCATTAGGCCAACTACTGGTCCAAAGATCCTGGTTTTCTTTAAGTCATAACTTGTGACCACTACATGAAAAGTATCCTAGAATTGTGAGGATCAGACTGACATGGTAAGGGCCGCATAGTCCATTTATTTATGCTGAAATCATTCACAACATCCCCACCAAAGGGTTGCCCTAGCCCACATTTTGTATTTTCCATTCTCCAGTATTTTGCTTTGGAGCTCTCCAGAAGGCCATGAAACACACATCATATGGATATATGAAAGTAGATGCGGTCCCTCTTGAGTCTACCATTCTTCAAGTTAGTTATCCCCAGTTCCTGTAGCAATTTTTCATGTTCTCTTTTGAGTTGCTTATCTTTCCTGGTCCCTGTCTTTGGAAATGGCTCCAGTTTGTTTGCAAGTGTGGCGCTTGGAACTCTAAGTATCTTCTTTTCTAGAACAAAATGAAATAGCACAGCCACCTATTTTATTGTAAATGCTAGGCCCTGTTCATTGAGCACAAGTGCTTGGAACTTAGTCATATGAACTCATTTTATTTTTAATTTTGCTATAGGGCAAGTGTGCTCTCCAGAGAGAAAGACAAAAAGGGAGAAAGTGAGAAATCACTCTCCAGGGAGGCTGGCCTCACTGCAATTCCTTCTCTTCCAATACTCTCTTGGGATTTTGGGCACACATGCACACGTGCCTGTCATGATTTTTAAGCCTTCAGATCCAAGACCCAGCCATGTGGGATCCAGCGCCTTAACCTCCATGCCACCTGCTGGTCTCAGTATTAACTCATTTTAACCTCACAGTAACCCTGAGAAGAAAGTAAGGATCAAAGCATTTAAGGACCAAAGAAGCATAACTGGGGTTTGACTTAGTTTTCTGATGACAAATCCAATATTCTTTCAACTGCCTAATAAATATCTACTTACAATACTGCCTAATATCTGTTAGACTTGTTTTAGCAACTACGTGC